TTTAGATCGGGCTCGCAGTTGGTATAATTTTACCCTAAACAGACTTCCTGGATTGTTTGTAGTCGATTCGGGGATAACCACGATTTCATTGATCACGCAAAGAGAGCACGTTAAAAATATTGTAACACGCTCCTATGTGTACATATGAGCTTGAATTAGATTGTTTTCAAGTTAAGATGTAAGGGGTAGGGTCTGATTAAAATTATGATATACCTATTAATATGAATAACATGCATTTGATCTGCGCATCAAGACAGAAGCGTAAGTGAAAACGTTGTGAAATGTCCCATGTGTACCTGCATCATATGTGCATTATACATGTATTAAAGAGATGTTTGAAAAATATCCGATTTGAGTTGTTTTATGTTTGAAATGAATGGCGATAAATTATTTAAGAGCATGTGAGAAACATGAGCGAGAGATGCAAGGCAGTTTGTAATTATAGAAAAGGAAAACGGAGAATCGGATTCGGATTTTGAGGACAGGAAATCATGCGACCGGAAGTGAATTTTACTGAGATATTATACATTACTGTAGACGTTTGCAGTCTGCATAACATATCTAAAGGTCATTACAAATACTTTATCTATAAAAGGTATTTATGGGAAAGAAAAATACTCAAATCATGTAGTTTTTCTCTTATAACCGGAAGCTGTCGTTGTTGTTTCCGGTAAGACTGATATATTTTGAAACTACAAATTAAATGCTATAATGTGATGCAGAAAAAGTTTCATTAAAGAAAAGTTGAAATTTTTGATTTCTTAGATCACTTCCTGTGACGACCGGAAGTGACGGCTGACGGTCTTATTCCAACTGAATTTGCCTACTTATCATGATCTACCACTTATTTAAGTTTGGTGTCTTAATCTCTAACCGTTTACGAGATCTAGCTATGATAACTTCTCATTTTGAGGACAGGAAATCACGCGACCGGAAGTGAATTTTACAAAGATATTTGACGTTACTTTAGTCATTTTCAGTCTGAATAACATATTTAAAAATCATAACAAATACTTTATCTATAAAAAATATTTATGGGAAAGAAAAATACTGAAAATATGCAGTTTTTCTCTCATAACCGGAAGTTGTCGTTTTTGTTTCCGGTGGGACTGATATATTTCGAAACTACAAATAAGATGCTATAATGTGATGCAAAAAAAGTTTCATTAAAGAAAAGTTGAAATTTTCGATTTCTTTGATCACTTCCTGTGACGACCGGAAGCGACGGCGGACGATCTTAACCCAAATGGACATGCCTACTAATCATGATCTATTACTCCTATAAGTTTGGTGTCTTCATCTCTAACCGTTTCTGAGATATGACCAGGACAAAATCTTTTTGAAAAAAGCGGAAATTGGACATATCTGACGACCGGAAGTGCATTAAAACAAAATGAAAGTTACATTTTAAAGTTATTTTGACTCTCTATCATCCCTGAAAATTTCATGAGAATCTATCCAGTCATCTATGAGAAATTGTCAAAAATAGAAAAGGGAAAAAAAAATAAGAAAAAGAAAAAGAAACAGTAGAATCACTATAAGGTCTTCCGTCTGAAACGGAAGACCTTAATAACTAGTACTAATTGTAACGGGGACCGTTACAGATGTTCCCCAAACGCTCCCCAACTCCCTTTTGGTGCCATATTCCCTGTAAGCTTCATTAAATAAGACAAACTCTTTGCATTTGAGACTTTGACAATGTTTACCCAGAAGTGTACCAAGTTCATTCAAATTTTAGCATTGCACGCGTGCGCATGTGAATGCATGTGCGTAATGATCATATCAGCTTGTCTACACAATCTATATATTTTTATATACTAAATATTAAAGTATTTAATCCAAAAGTATTAAAAAATACGCTTATTTAAGTGTATTTTTGATTTTACTCATTTCACGTGCACGCACGTGCATACATAAGCATGGTACCATTTCTACTTGTAGAAGTCCATGACATCTATCTATGTTCTAAATCCCACCACGTTCGTTTGAAAAATAAGAGAGTTATAGCTTTTTAAAGTTTAAGCTAATCAGATTGCAGCGTACGTACAGGCACGTGTATGCATGTGCATGGTGACCATATTTTCTTGTAGAAGTCCATTATATCTATCTATGTTCCAAATCCCATCCTCTTTGGTTGAAAACCAAGGGAGTTATAGCTATTTAAAGTTTAAGCCAATCAGATTGCAGCGCACGTGCATGCACGTGTTTTCATGAAAATTGCTATATATCATATTGTAGGATATCTTAATGCATGGCTATGTTCAAAATTTCAAAAGGATTTTGTCAAAAAACAAGAGAGATATTGAGACTTTAGTTTCAACCAATCAGAGCGAAGCGCACGTGCATGCGCGTGAGATCTTGCTATTTTGACCATGCCATCATGTCTACACCACTAACATATCCTTTCATTATGAGTTTCAAAGCAGTTTATCAGAAAATAGTAAAGTTTTGGCTATATCTATTATAATGGTCATTTCACGCGTTGCACGTGCGCGCTCTT